GCATATGGTACTCCTTCAAAGGAGTAAAAAGTTCGGCCATTTAGCGATTGTTTGGTACCACCTTGAACCTGACCCAACTTCGGTAAAGTTACAACAGGGAGTTTGGAAGGTACCACTGCTGAAATAAATGCAGCAACTGCGAGTAGTACCAACATTTTGATCATTGTAAAGAAGTTACGCCTTGAACTTATATTGTCAAAAGAGGACAAAGGTCATTTATTTATAACTGATATCAAAATCGAGTTATGTCATTAGTGATAATTTTTTGCGTTCTAAAATTGGTGGGGAGTTCAGAAATTCGATACTTTTGTCAAAATTAATTTTAGAGTGTCAAATCGATTTTCTCCAATCCGCGGTTGAGTGTGGCGGGTGTTTAAGACTCTTTGATAAAAGTCGAATTCTTTTACGGTCCGAGCGGGTTACGCTACAAGAAGAATAATATTTATTTGAGGTAGGTTCTCCAGCGTTATTTTGTGGAGCCAGTTACTTTGGGAAGATGAAGGATTTAAGCAGTCAGAAATCCAAGTAATTAAATTAACGATAACAATTTATTAAAGAAATAAAGTTTAGAAAATATTATAAAATAAAACTAAATAAAATAAAAGACAATCAATTAAAATAAAAGAGTAAACATTTTACTATTCCGTTAATGTTTAAATTCACCAAATTCAAGAAACTACTGATTAACATAAAGTAATAGTTTAGTGTCAAACAACTAACTTAATTCAAGTCCTACTAGCTACGTCCAATACAAGTTAACTTATTCTTATTGAATAAGCTTTTAATTAACATTAAATAATGTTGATTGAATTAACCATTATTACTAAATTCGAATGCAAGAGGAGAAACCGTTTCAGGAAAGGACCAGTCATTAAACAGCCCGAAACCCCGTGGTTTCGAAGTAAATCTCGTATTACCCTATTACACGCCCAGTCCATCCCAACTTTCATAATTCTTATCATCGGTTGTTGTTATTTAAATTGAAACACGAGTCGACCCATCATAAGTTAAACTTTGAAAAATTTCAAATGTTGTCATCGTCGGAGCAAGGAGAAATTAAACAGAATAAAACTCACAGTTTATCATCTGGGCAAATTTTGGAATCAGCAAACAGTAGAGATCAGCCAGGTAGTGGAAGCTGCACTCCAAATTGGCACAAAGGGCACTTTTTCACACACTTCGACACACCATCGAACAGCACGACACCACGATCAAGATTGAATTGAATTCTCTTAATTTTCTGGGTGATATTTATATGGAGGGCCCCATGCACATGTGTGATGCAGGTGCCCTTTTTTGATAAATTTGATGTGTGTGTCTGTTTTCTTGGGATTTTAAAATTAATGTGTCTCTTCCCTTATCGTGACCATATAATGTGTCGCTGATGACACACTTATCCTGCATCTGCCCTTTATCTCCCTATTTTTAAGAATTTTGTTCTAATTTTAGTAAGTTTTGACGTATCTCGACTAATTTATGATTTCCTTAATGATTTTAGCAAGGTGTTCGTGATTCTTCGACAAGTGTGATAGTGTTGATTTGTTTATTTTATGATTTGGTCCAGACAATTTATTGGGTTAGAACTGTTATGTATAATGTATTTTTTTCCTCATTTCTTGGAATAACATGTGTTTTATTGGTCGTTGTTCGTGGGAACCTTTGTATCTGCTAAAACTCTTATCTGGTGAAATTTATGAGGGTTGTCTCATAACTCTTAGATGGACATGTGTTTTAATTGCTTATTGCTGACATATTTGGTCAATATTATATGATAAAGTTAAATAGATTAATTTACTTTGATTGTTATATAAATTAAATCGTTGTCTTCTCTCGTTAATTTGATTGTTTCTTTCCTTTTCTTTTTACAATAAAATTGGTGGATCAAATTGGCCCACCACATGAGCAAACTTGTAAATCGTTTGCCCATTTGCTATGCATTCGCGACCTTTAATTTTTCCGAAATTGGGCAATTTCACGGTTGGCACCGCGTAACAATTAGCCAAAATTGTCGCATTTTTATCAAAACAGAGCAAAGTTTGGTTTTGTTATCAGAAATAAAACAACCTATTATTTTTTATTTTTATTTTTTATTGAAAAAAATAAATGTAAGTTCATCTTTTACACTAGAAAGCAATTTTTCGTTTTCTTTGATTGGTAACGAATCTCAAAAATTGGTACTACCAAGAACAGATGGTTCTTGAGTGGGATTAGATGGGAACAGATCTTTAGGTATGTCAGTTAATCAGTCATATCGTTAGGTACTGGTGTCCACTCCAATGGCACGTCTGGAACTCTGACTTTTAACTGGTACTTACTTGTTCAAAAGCAGTTTTTTGATTATAAGTGGGATTCATCGGCTGGTTTTTAAAACTTGAGCAACTAAGTGTAAAATTAAGAAGCTTGATAGCGAGATTCTCGAAACAATGACTATTACTCGAATTTTGTCTACACTTCTGTCCAAGTTCAATCATTTTATAGTGCTTGGGATTCAACGGTAGCAGCAAACAAAACTTTGCATAAATTAACGACAAGACTCTTGACAGAAAATCTACGGCTTCAAGAACAAGAAACTAAAGTGGAAGATTCGGTTGTTTGATAGCAAAGGACGTAAACAGAAAGAAAAGAAGTTATGAAAAGGACAAGAAAAATCAAGGATGCTTCACTTGCGGGAAGAAAAATCATTTTCGAAAAAACTGTCCCGGTTGTTATACGAGTGGGTCAATGTTTCATGTTGCTAAAAACTGTACACAGTCTAAAAATAACACTCGTGGGAACCTCAAGCTTTTATCGGTAATAAAATAAGTGGTTCATGAAGTGATGATGACTGGATTGTCGATTCCGGGTCATCTAAACACATGTGTATGAAAAAAGAGAGGTTTAAAAATTGTGCAATGTTTTCTCAGCCAGAATTAATGACAGTGGGAAATGGTAAGAAAGTTGAAGCACTCGGGACATTGAGACTTTCGTGGCTTCCAGGAATTTTAAAAGACGTTTTATTCACACCGGAGATGAAACACAATTTGTTTTCCGTGAAAGTCACAGCCAAAAGGAGTTTGGATTTTGTCATTAGAAATGTAGCACAAAATTGTGAATTTTTAAACAATGGTAAAGAAATGAAAATGGTAAAAAGTAAAGACAACGGTAAAAAATTAAGCTTCGCGTACTGAAGCCTGAAAAATTGTGTTTTATCGTGAATAAAGTGGAGTGTTTACAAGTTTGGCATGAAATGTCATGTGAAGGATTGATATTCGATGTGTTACTCAAGGATGACTTCAGCAGTTATCGTGTTCTGTATTTTATGAAGGAGAAAAATGAAGTCAAGGATAAATTGAATTACCCTGTAATGAAGTAAAAACAAGATTTGGGAAGCACATTCAAGAATTGAGATGTGATGACGGAAAAGAATATGATATGCGATCAATATCTGTGAAAATAGGAATAAAAAATAAAACTGACCCTATTCGTAGGAACAAAATGGAACAGCAAAACGTGAAAATAGAATTGCAACGCGTTCATGCTTCACACAAAACCCTATATTCCGAAATTTTTGTGGGCAGAAGCCGTGAATACAGCAATTTATATCATAAATCGTACGAGTAAAAGAAAAATTGAAGGGAGAACGACGGAAGAACTTTGGTTTTCCAAAAGGATGACTCCTCAATATTTCAAATATAGTACACGTTCCGAAGGAAATGAGAAGAAAATTGCTTACGACTAAATGTTAGGTTTTTAAAATTGTTTATAATTAAGAATGTCTATGTTGTTGTTCTTTTAGGGATAGTATTGCAAATAATTAGATTAGTTTCGGCAACTAATTAAGAAAAGAATAATAACAGTAAACTTTATAGTTTTGTTTGTTTGATTTTTATAGTTCTAGGAATGTGTAATCAGTTTTTAGTTTTTTAGATTAGTCTAGTTGAAGAATTTGTAGAACATAGTCGCACGCTGTAAATTCGCTACAAATAATGCTTTTTACTAACTAAATTCCACAACTTCACTTCAAAACCTCAGCAATGGTGTTTTTAATTTTTTTTATTTCTGTGGACTGCAAGTGCGGTAAGTACTAAAGTAAATTAATCATACATCTTCGAGACAAAAAAAAGTCAGTTTCATTAAGAATCATAAAAATAGGTAATGATAAAAAATTACTATTCATCTATCACGTCTGGAAACAACTTTTCGTTCTCTTTGATCGGCAACGAGTCCCAAAATTTGGTACTTTCGGCAGTACCACGTCCTACTGAGAGTTTAGTCGGAGAATCGATTTTCAAAAATGTAAAATCATCTTTCAAATTTTTGGGTACTTGTGGCCACTCTATCCCAACATTGGGTCTCCTGAAAAAAAATGTTTTTTCATTATAAAATTTAGTAGTACTAACCCTGTATGTGCATAGGTTGTGACTAAATCAACGAAAAATTTGATCATTTTCTTGTCTTGACCATTAGTGTCCGTTTTGACAACGTCATATTTGTAAATATAGGCCGTATCATCACCATGTGAGGCCCCAAAATCCTCGGTACTACCGGAACAAAAT